TTTCCAGAACCGGGGATTGAACTCAGGCCCTTGCGCTTGCCAGGGAAGCGCTTATTCCACTAAGCCATCTCCCTGGCCCTGGGGCCACTTATTTTCTTGTGTTTTTTTTCTTTTTCTCTGCTCAGGATTTTTCATTAAACCCTGTTCCTCTTTGAGTTGCTCTATACTTTCTTTCTCATGCACTGAGATGAGCTGACCTGACTTTTTTTTTTTTTTTTTTTTTTTTTTTTTTTTTTTGCGGAACCAGGGATTGAACTCAGACTCTTGTGCTTGCAGACAAGCACTTATTCTACTGAGCCATCTCTCCAGCCCCAGACCTGACTCTTTATTGGCTTTAACAAAGGCAATTGTTGGGGCCAGTGAGATGGCTCAGTGGTCTAAAGCACCCACTTAGAACAAGCTTAGCATAAACACAGGTACTGTGGTTCAATGCCCAGCACCACATGCCAGCCAGCCCCGCCCCCTGGTGAGCTGAGCTGGCCACACACACCCACACACACACACATAAATAAATAAAATTTTTTTTTAAAAAGGCAGTTGTTTTGGATGAGGGTTTATCCAAGACCATAGTATTCTGAATAATAAACATGAGAGGAACTCCAAGTTTTTTCTTCACTTTCACAGGTAAATTCTGGTTCTGTGTTGCCACAAAATGGTGAGGGTTTCCCTCTTCAACCATGGAGAGCAGACAGTCAGATCCACTCACTGCATTCTTGAAATGGGAACAGTTTCGAACTTGGCATTTCTGTGCAATTAGTTTTGCCCCATACAAGTCCTTTCCCAATGTTTCTAACTCCTTTAACACACAGTTGGTTGTGCACAGCTGTGTCTCCCCCATCAGGTAACAGGGCAGCTGCTCCCGCAGCTGTATGTGGCCCCGCAGCGCCACCTGACAGAAAGTGTTATCCAGCAGAATCTGGTATGGCTTCCAGACACCAAAATTGTTCTGAAAGAAGCCAAGATGCTTCTTGACGTGTTTCTGCCTAGTGGTCTTTATTTTTTGTTTAAGCAGACCGAGGCCACTGGGCCAGGAAATAGTAGCACCGCTTTACTCACACTTTCAGACTGGTGGCACCAGCTTCCCCCCCAAATTGTCCTTTTAAATAAAGAGATTAGTTGTATTGATTATGGGCCCACCCTAAGGCCCTCAGTTCAGCTTTACTACTTTTAACCTAGTCCCTGTTTCCACGTAAGGTCAAATCTATGGGGATTAGGACTTTAGTATATCTTTTGGGGGAAGTAACACAGTTCCATCCAACTGCTACCGGACACTTTATTTTGTATCTTTGGTGATATGTAGCGGCAAGGGAGGCAGAAAAGCATAGAGCTGGTTATGCATTGCTGGTTCTCCCTCACCCAAGTACAGTCAAAATGCTGAGAGAGAAACAGGGATTGAATATTGTGGGTAACTGACCATCTCCACTACAAGTATGGACGACTATTTTTCTCTTTTAAATATCAGTATACATAGTTCAGAATGATTATGAGATTTACTGGGGCCAGGGAGATGGCTCAGTAGAATAGC